GCTCCGGCCCCGCGCTCCGCTGCTGCTGCCGCTGGGTGCTGCCGGCCGCGTTGCTGGGCGCTGCTGGGCGCTGCTGGGCGCTGCTGGGCGCTGCTGGGCGCTGCGCTCCAGCCGCTGGGTGCTCCTCGTCTCTCGGGCTCTCTCTGCACCCCGGCCGCTCCACTCTGCCAGCTGCGGGGTGCATCTTGTCACCCCAGCAGCTGCAGGATGCCCCGCGTCCTGCACCCCGAGCTGWGGGTGCCTGTAGCTGCCCTGCCACACAAGGCACTGGGTGCTCCTCGGAGGATGCTCCCCGTTTGTCCTATCAGGGCATCGGCTGCACCCCGCCTGACAGAGGGTGTTCCTGGCCACCAGAGCCAGCTGTGGGGTCCTCCCTACCTGTCCCCTCTGCACGTGGCCCAACTGCTGCCCCATGCAGTGCTGTCACCGAGCGGGTGGCACTTGCCCTTTGCCCTTCACACCTGGGAGACCTGGACACYCCGTGGGGTGTTTGGATGCTCGAGGGAAGTGAAGGACCAAGCTGTAAGGGCAGGAGAGGGGCTTCATTTCCCCTGTGCGTTGATGACCACTTAGTGGATGGTGCTGGTCAAGCTGCCCCATGCTACAGGCAGAGGTTCAGGGGTTAAATTCACTGTGTTATAAATTGAGGAACAGGCCCGGGGAATAAGTGATGCTGCCGAATTCCCCGTGATCCCAAGGCACGGAAAGACGAGGCGAGCGCCGTGAGTCACTGCGCAGGGGTACAGCGTCCCGGGGGCGAGAGCAGCAGCCGTGGGCAGCGYGGCGGCGGGCGAGGAGCGCGGCGCCGCGGTGAGTCCTCCGTGCTCCTGCTTTCTTAATCCGCCCTTGGCAATCCCAGGCATACCCCTTGCAGCAGCAGGGATTTGGGGTTCCCAATTCTGTGGTCATCCCACGTGTCATGGCACGTGTGATGGCTCCTGCAGGCTGGTTATGGAGGGCTGTTCTGCCACCACGGACGCGGGTGGTGGTACCTGGGTTGGTTTCTCTGCTTGAGGGGGTTTCTGGGGTGTGCCGCTCTCCAGCTCCCAGGGCCACGTGGCACCGGGAAGGCCAMGCTGGGTGACACCAGCCCTTGCCCTGCAGCACCTTGGAGTAAAGGACAGGAGGACTTAGAGCTTWCCACTTGGTGGGACCCATTCTCTACTCTCGCACTTGTCAGATGCTGTCACTCCCAGGACATGTTTAGGATTAGATCAACCCAAGGGATTCACGGACTCCCTCCTTCCCTCTCTCTTGGTTCCCTGGGATCTGATCCAAATGGATTAAATTCCCTGTGCCTTTTCCCTCCTTTCAGCTATTAGAGAGAAGGATGGTTGTTACCGAGTTATTTAAAATTATATAAAGTGGATATAGGTCTCTGTATGTATATTTTGTGTACGGTAATTAAGCCAACATTTCCACCCCACCTGATCCGTAGGGACTGCAGATAAGAGCAGCGGGCGCCTCTGCGATCCCAGCACTCCGGCCTGCAGGGGATGGAGAACTTCTCCTCTTCCCCTTCTCCCTTTTCCGCCAGCTCTGCTGCCGAGCTGCCTGGGAACGGCACCGTCCACGACCACGACTCGGGGCTGCAGAGGAGCATGCACGTCCTCTCCATGGTGGTGTACAGCGTCGCCTGCCTGCTGGGCGTCACRGGCAACGGCCTCGTCATCTGGATCGCCGGCTTCAAGATGAAGAAGACTGTCAACTCCGTGTGGTTCCTCAACCTGGCCATCGCCGACTTCATCTTCACCTTTTTCCTGCCCCTCAGCATCGCCTACACCGCCCTGGGCTTTCACTGGCCCTTCGGGAAGCTCCTGTGCAAGCTCAACAGCACCATGGCCTTCCTCAACATGTTCGCCAGCGTCTTCCTCCTCACCGTCATCAGCATGGATCGCTGCGTCGCCGTGGCCTTTCCCGTGTGGTCTCGCAACCGCAGGAGCCCGGAGCTGGCGGCCAGGGTGGCGCTGGGCACCTGGGTGCTGGCTCTCCTCCTCAGCTCCCCGTACCTCGTGTTTCGGGACACCGCCGTCGGCTCCAGGAAYGTCACCAGCTGCTACAACAACTTCGCGCTGTCCGACGACTACACGTCCGAGGCCACGCGGAGGCTGTGGAGGATGCGGCTTAAGGCSATGATTATAACGCGGTTCTTATGCGGGTTCCTCGTCCCGTTCACGGTGATCCTCATCTGCTACAGCATCGTCGCTGTCAAGCTGAAAAGGAGGCACTTAGCCAGCTCGGCAAAGCCGTACAGAATTATCATTGCTGTCACCGTCTCCTTTTTCCTCTGTTATTTCCCCTACCATGTCTTCTCCTTGCTGGAAATATCCAAAAACTCCTCCAGCCACGAGATGAAAATGGCCCTTTACATAGGGATCCCCTTGGTTTCCAGCCTCGCTTTCTTCAACAGCTGCATCAACCCCATCCTGTACGTGTTCGTGGGGCCGGATTTCAAGGAGAAGTTCCGCCAGTCCCTCCCGGCAGCCTTCGAAGGGGCCTTCAGCGAGGAGTCCGTCCTGGCCAGCCTGGCCAGCCGGCGCAAATCCAGGTCCGCTTCGGATGCGGAGGCCTCGAGGGCCTGAGCGAGCCCTGCTGCGGCTCCGGCTGCTTCTCCTCTGCACCTTCCCTTCGTTTAATCGCTGCATTGAGAGCTGCAAAGGGCTACGGGTGCTACCGATGTGATGGGACCTTTTGGAGGCATCTCCAACTTGCTTCGTGAGAGAACGTGCTGCTTTTGTGGCCGCTGTGCCCGTTTGTGGTGGTCAGCGCCAGCGGGGGCTTTGCCCGGCCTGTCCCCACGCTTGGGAGCCGGGGCACAACGTCCCCACGGGCGGCCGCGCCAAGAGGGTGCCCATCAGCGGGACAGGGGTTGCTGGGTGCCAGACCTGGCTGCTTCTCTTGCAGCTTGCAGTTGTTAGTCCATTTCACAGCTTTTACACGCACTGAGTTTGCCCGTGCCCTGATCGACCCCTCTCTATCTCCTCTCTCTCGGGRTGCCCAAGCAGGGCTGCGCTCCCACGCTCAGCCGAGCCCAGGGGCGCTTTRCAGGCACCGGCGCGATGCGGACGAGCCCAGATCCCTGCGGCCTCTTCCCAACAGCTGCAGCCGCWGCCCCTCATTCCAACGTGCCAAAATTCAGGGGTTCCACCAGGGGACAAAATTGGGTCCTGCTGCAGCGGCTCTGCCACCCGGACACAGTGGGAGGACGGAATTGCTGTTCCATAAGCCCCTTATTAATAAATCAGTAAAGAAAACGCAAAGATCCTCTTCCATGTGAGATACCAGAGCAGTCAGGCACGCAGGCCACTAAAGGGAGATGTCCCCACTATGTCCCACTCATGGGACAAACAGCCTGAGCAAGGTCTGCTCACCGGAGGGGCTTCCACCGGCTGCAGTGGGTGTATCAGCCAGGAAACTTTGCTCTCTTTTGAATAATTAAAGTAAAATTGAATGGCAGAGTCAGGACTATCCAGTAAAACACTCATGTGTTCTCTCCCTGGACATGTGGCAGGTTTTGATGCTCGGGTTTGATGTACAACATGATAATTTCGGAGCAATGGTTGYCCATGTCTGTGTTTGATGTGTTTCTGGCCCTCAAGCAGCTGAGATCTGGCATCAGGTACTGCTGGTGAATGAATGTTAAGCCCCATTAAACTTATTTAAGTGTACCCAGCCTGTGAACTGTTGTGTTGATAAAATACGTGGTGATCCAACGTGGCTGAGCGTGCTTGTCTTCAGTAATAGGTCCTATTCATCCAGCTGCTCCGGGACCTCATTGCTCTGATAGCCAGAAAATCTCTGACTTTCTGGCTAAATTCATAAATTTATGAATTTAGGTGTACCTTGCTGTTCCACACAGCTGACATTACCGAGCAGGAGCTGTCATTCGTGCAAGTCAGGGATTGATTATGGGTCTGCTGGGCAGTGCAATATTAAATGAAGGTCGTGATCCTACGGGCATGTACGGACTTAACCTTACATTCATGAACAATCGTGCTGAGATCGGGCAATGCAGCAGGACCATCCGCGTGTCAAGCATGAGGGAACCGAGAGATTTACCCTTTGCCACAAATTGCTGCCTGTCATCCAGCTCAAGCTGCAATGTTTGCTGTGCAGCATGCGGCTCCGAGGATATTTACTTGCTCCTGGTGCTAACCCACAGCATTGATTGGGGTGTCAAGGTTGTGCGCATCAGCATTTGCTCTCTCTGGGCTTCCTTATCTGTTTGCACAGCCTGCATAATTCCTTGTGACAAGAGTCTCGGAGACCTCTGAACTCGAACCTCGACCTCCTACCATGCCTCTCTCATCACCCTGCCACGCTTGAAGACAAGGACTTCAAGCATTGACCTCGTTTGAGGTGGGAAGCAAAGCAATTTTCCGGGCCATTGGGGCATCCAACCTGAGAATGGGGTTGCTCACGGCTTGCAGGGCTCCCCAGACGGCCCTGCACGTCCCTGTGCTGCTCCATGGTTTGGCAGTAACAGGTACCCAGGATCTTGCGGACRAAGAGATGAGGGATAACAGTGTCAGGGCAAGGTGTTCCTTTTACTCATATCCATCCCATGTGGGATACAGTGGGTAACTAACCTGTAGTGAACATGTCCCAGGCGTGAGCCAAGCCCCAGGGCCACCCTTCACCCAGCAGCTCCGTTTTGGGGTAACCATGCTCAGCTCCAGGGCACGGGATGTTTGTTTTGTCTCTCTTCCAACACCTCTCGCCCAAGTTGCCTCTCCTCAAAGTGGCATTTTACTACTGCTAAACAAAACAGGGTGTCCTCGTAAATCTGAATGTCTCCTTGTACGAGGGAAGGGGCTTAGTAAGTTTTGAAACAGTCATTCATGAGAATACTGAACAGAATTTTAGGAAAATGGAAGAAAAAAGGACGCATTTGTTTTATCAGGGGTGACCAACTGTTCATGGCCATCGCTGCGTTACAGGATGCTCCTGAGAGAGAAACGGTTCTGTCGGCCAGACTCTGATCCCTAGTCTTTATGCAATGAGAAGCGTGCTGACATCAGCACGGGATTAGGCTGCCAAGGGCCCGGGTCCAAGATAAACCTCGCATTGTGTTGAGTTCCCACATGTTCCGATTATCTCATTATCACCACGTCCCTCATTCTGGGGTGGAAGGCACGGGATTTATTCGCCCTGGCACTCGTGTTTGCAACGCACTTCTGTGGAAAAGCTTGAATGAGAAGAGGTTTTCCACAAGCATGCAAATATTCCAAAAAAAAAGAAAAGAAAAAGCAAATCCGGACTGCCCCTTTGGCAGCTCTGCCCCGCTCTGACGCAGCTCCGCTTTCAAGGTTCCTGCTGATGCGGGGGCGTTGCTGGCACGGGCTGAGCTCCGGCTGTTTGCAGTGGTTGGGAAACGGGAGCGATCCCGGCGTGACGGCCCCATTGGAGCCGCCAAGGGGCTGCTCCGTGGTACAGCCCATACGAGCAGAGGGCTGGCGCGTGCGGAGCCGCTCGAGGGGAGAGCCGGGGCAGCGCGCGGGCAGCGGGCAAGGCAGGGGGTGGGAATTAGTCCCGACCTCACTAACGCTTTGGGGCTGGGCGAGGGAAATGGAGCAGCAATGAGGAGCCGGGGTGAGGAGCTCGGCAAGATGTGGCGGGTGGTTTTTGGTGAGAGGCTCCGTGGCGATGAGCCCTTGGGCGGGATATTCCACAGGCCGTGGCACCCTCGTGCCGAAACCCTGCTGCCCAGAGGCATCCGTCAAGGAAGGCAGCAAGGAAAAGGGGTTCTTCACATGCCGATGAGAAGAATTGCGCCAGGGAAGTTCCAGTGAGGGAAGAGAGAGCTCTGAATGCTGGAAAGAGAGAGTGCCTTGGCGGAACAGGTACAGCTTGGCTGTATCCTGGCCACTTGGGGCTGCAGCAGAGCCTAGCATGAYGGCAGGATATTCTCAGATCTTTAGTACAAGAGAAAATAAGCATGGTATTTGAATCATAGTGAGGGGTAACCGTGGTGTGACTGGGTCCTGTGACACAGCTGTCTCTGTAAGGCAGACAGGATCTCAGACAACGATGTGACAAGAACCTGAAGGAGTTTAAGCCTTGATAGTAGCRGATCATAGTAGTTGTGCCTGGTGGTTCTACAGTGATATCCACGTAAGTTTGTTTTGGAGAGAGCTTAAATCAGGGACCTCAAGAAAAGCTGTTGCTGCCTTGCTCAAAAAGGGGGAGTTCAGCAGACTGGAGCTGGGAGAAGCTGCAGAGATACCCGTGATGAGACCAGCCAAGGAGCATGTGGAAGCAGTAGCTCAAGAGGAGAAGGTACTTTCTCCTTGGGATCTGGAGGAGAGCATGGAAGCAGAACGAGGGCTCAGAATAGTGAGGAGGAACGAGCCAAGGGTGATAGATACAGGGGAGGAAAGAGTGGGAGCAGAGACAGCACTGGAGTATTACCAGCAGAGGGGTGGGTGCAAACACATGGGAGGGAGATGGGCACAGGTGAGGACGTTCTCTTTAAGGAGAACTTAATGAGACTATAAAAGTCTGCTGTGACACCTAGTAGCCCCCTTGTACTTCCTCTCTTGAGACTCTCTTGGTGAGTACAATTTTTAAGTGTCTCACCCTTGCTCTTGGCGAGTGGGTTTAGCAGATAAAGTCAGGCAAGACAGTGCATGGAAACCTGACAGGAGAACCTTCTCTGGAGGGTGGTGTAATTAGGTGGGAAACCAAGGCAAATCAGAGGACTAGTGTTGGTGAAATGTTGCTCTGTGAAGGAGAGGTGATGGCAATACTCTAAGTCTTGCAGGCCAAGCCTTTCCTGGTTGTCTAYAGACTTTTTTTTGGTGTAGCAGCTGGGAAAGGGTCATCCTGCCCTCCAARGAGGCTGTGTGAGTTAACCTGTGATTGCTCCCGTGTCGGCTCTGCTCCGTGTCAGGCTGGGAAGGGAACAGGGTGCTCTCTGCCGAGCGTACTTTGGTCTTTCCCTACGCTTCTACCAGGTTCTGCTCCATCACCCTGGGCAAAGTTGCACATAAAACTACTGCGAACAGTTCTTCTGTAAACAGAAAATGGTTGCAAAATGCTCAGATTTTGCAGGACTGAATTGCATGAAAGGGGCTAACAGAACAAAGCAGAGGATGTTACTGCTGGGCCTTGGTTTAGGGCAGCGTTTCTTGCAAATCCGTGTTCTCCATCCGGCTTGAGCCTGTGTCTGTGCAATGACCGGCTAAAGGCTGGTTATTCCGGGGAGCCTCTCGCGCATTGTGTGGAGCCTGGCAGGACGCGGCCCTGTGCCCGCAGCTGACGCAGCAGCTCTGTTAATCCTTTGGGATTGATGTGGAACTGAGAGCGCTGCTGGAAATGGGAAAACAAACTGAGCTCAATGAGTCTTTCAGTCAAATCTGCATGACTCRGAACGTTATTGTGTCACTGACTGGGTGCCTGTTTCCTGCAGACAGCAAAGCCACGGCGAGGCACTAATATTGCCTGAAACCATTAGTGCTGTCTGCCCACATAGCCCTTCATGTAGATAAGATGTTTTCTCTGCTCTGGGGCCTTTTTCCCAAGGCATTTTACCCCCTCAAAAGTGGGGAACGCTGCTTTTCAGATAGTGTTTTTCAATGGGGGAAGAAATGACAGTGACTCCAACCTCCCTTAATTCACAAATGTATTTACAGGTGCTGTCAGTTCTGCCTCCCTGGCTGGACAATATCCAAGCAAACATCTTCTGGAAACCAGGCACAGTCCTTTCCAAGGCARGGAAGGCAGAAGCAGGGGAAGGAGGTGGTGTCCAGCTGAGTGTGCCCAGCACAGCATCCCAGTGAATTTGGAGAGACTATGCGGAGCAGGGAATTCTGCTGGGATGCTGCATAGGACTGATAGTTGGGAGAGACCAAACCTACTCATGGGGCTCTCCTAGGATTAAGTCAAAACAGCCTTCTGGGGATCCATGTTTGGTAGCTCTCAGTGTCACAGGTGAGTTTTAACAGCCACCTCTACAAAATAAAACCAGCCGTGCCTAAACAGTGATGGATGGAGCTTAAGGGAGGCTGCAGGACAGTAGCATCTGTCTTCTGGCACGTGATGGATGGAGCTGTCGTCTGGCCAAGCCCTGGACGAGCAGCGCCCTCCACCTAGGTCAGGCTCAGTGCGCTTCTGTTGCTGGTATTGGGTCTCAGTTCTGGTTCTCCACAGCAGCTAATGCTATGAGTAACAGCAATGAATCTCCGTTAGCCACTACATTCACACCTGGCAATTTTTCCTTAAATGACTAATTGGATCATGATATAGGAAATAAAATCTGGGTGTTCATTTTGCAGCAATTATTTGTTTACCACTTAGCACTTATATAGCATGTTATAAGARTAACAAATCCTCCTCTTGTTTGGGAATTTAGTTTTAAATTTAAACTGTACTAATCGGGAAAACAGGGACAGGGAAGAAATTGTCTCTACCTCCCAAGCAAACAAAAGCAGTAACTTTAGAAAAGGGATCTGAAGACAGAATCTTAGTTCCTATTCCTGTTGTTTGCTTAAGAAATGTCTGGAATTTGGGGCAGCGTGAGTCAAAGAGCCAGTCTGGGTGCCCTGGAGCAAAAAGGCCAAAAAAAAAAAAAAAAAAAAAAACCAAAAAAAAAACCACCCGCAAAACAAAAATAACACGGAAGACAAAACACTTTTATAGAGGAAAGTTTCTAACTGCTTTAAGGGTTAGTGCTTCAACAAGCATGTTGTTGTTAGTTGTTTTGCTTCAACATGCACTGCTATATTATGCTGTAGTAAAATCCTACCCTGAAAGACTGATGTTGAGTGAGAAATCTTTGCTGCTCTATTAAAAAAATTTAATAAAAAGAGTACAAGCTGTGARTATTGAGGGTGGTGCGACTGAGAAGTCTATTCCCTTGCGCTTAGCAGTGTCAATTGGAAAAGAGTCCATTGCAGCACTGCCTCTGCGAGGTTTCAGACGGGTTTATGTGCTCTGCACACATATTTTGAACAGATGTTTCCGCTTTGGGCGAGTGCTACAAGTGCTGAACTCCAYCTCTGGCAGCTGCTCGGTCCTCCGGGTTAAATTGCTCTCCCGTCTCCATTCAGAGTTGTGAAAGGAGGAGATAATTAAGAGGTGGAAGGCAAGGAACAATAAGTAGATATTGTGAAATGTGGTGGTGGTGGTGGGGGAAAACGGGATGTGAAGATCTAATATGGAAAATCCAGCTCATCATGTCAGAAAGTGCAATGGCAAAGTGGGGAAACTCGGTGTTATGCTTTTGCAGGCTCATCTGGTGAGATGTCCTGGGACCGTGTCCCCCCTCGTGGTGTAAGGCCAGCGCAGATGTGAAGGATCCTCTTGGGAAGCCAAGTTCTTGCTCCAACTGACCCTTTGCTCTGCTGCAGGGATGAGTAAGGACACCCGAGAGTCATCAGAAAACCTGCAGCCAGGAGCACATCATTTGTCACTCCATTACAAATTCTGATAGCATATAATGCAATGCTGTTTATCTTGGGTGTAGAAGATTTTAAGTTAACTATTTTAGCTTACAATACTGTTTAGCTTGTTAATGAAACTCACAGTGGTCATATATATGTGTGTGTGTATATATATATTTCTTTTGGAGAGGTGGTGCTAGTGAGGGGAACCCTTGGCATGAGTTGCATCTCTGGATTCTGGCAGGATGACCTAGCTTGGAACAAGGAAACTTTATATATTTTCTTAATTACTGCTGTCCTTCCAGGATAGAAAGGTTTAGCAGGCACTGTGTTGAAGGGTTTATAGCTGGACTTGCTCTTGAGCAGCTTTTCCAACCATAATGATTCTATGATAAACATGAACTTAAAAAGACTAAAAGCAGCATCTTGCTGCAGAATTTGACTCAAGTATTTGACACAACTGTTGCAAGGAGAGCGCTGAGAGGGGATTCCTGATAAATGGGATAAACTTTTGATGTTATTTATGAAGGATGGAGAGACCATATGTTTTTCCCCCTCCATTTCCAGGGAGGCTTCCAGATGGAGGACACAGCCCAGGCCACGCAAGGCTGGTGGGAAAGGCAGGTGTGGAGCCCCTACCCACAGAGCCCCTTTGCCAGCCCGCAGGGTGCCTTGGCGGCACTCGGACACGGCGAGACGGCTCTGCCCGCCCCCGGGGACCCCCGCCCGGCCTCGAGCTGCCGCTTCCAAAGGGAACTCCGATTGCCGCCATCTCCCCGCGCCCCCCGCCTCGCCCGGGCGCGGAGCCAACATGGCGCCCGCGGCGGCTCCCTCAGAGGCGCCGCGCGGGAAAAGCGGGGTGGGGGGGAGGGAGGGCGTGGCCTGGCCCGCCCCCCAACCCAGCGCCGCCATCTTGCGAGCGGAGGCGCCCGAGCTCCGCGCGGCCTCCGCCCCTGCCCGCCCGCGGCGCCGGGGGGCCGGAGCCGGCAGGTAAGGCCTTCCCGGGGCGGCCCGGCCGGCGGGGAGCCCCCCTTCCTGCTCCTCCCGCCGCCCGGGGGAGCGGCGGCGGCTCCTCGCCGGCCCCGCGTGGGCAGGCGGCGGTTGGAGCTGTGAGGGGGATCCTTCTTTCCCCCCATCCCCTCCGCCGTCTYTGGGGAGGAGGGCGCTGAGGGAACCGGAGGGCGGTGGGTCGGTGCGGGCCTGGTGCCCCCCGCACCCCGGGAGCGGGGCCCGGCTCGTGTCCGCGCCCGGCGCCGCTGCCTCCCTCGTGGCCCGGGGCGGGCCGGGGCCGCGTTCGCCCCGGGGAAAGCGGCTTCTCGTCCGGCCCGGCCCGCTGCTGCAGCGTGTCCGCGGGGCAGCCCTTGTCCTGCGGTGCCTCGCACGTGCCGCGTCTTCCCGTGGAGCAAAACGCGCCCGAACGGCGAGCGGGAGGCGGCGGCTCCAGCCCTGCAGCAGCCCTCACCCCGCTCCCTTACGTTCTTTGTTCCATGGATATGGAAAAGCCAGTGGGGGCGGAAAAACGGCATCGTGGAAACGCGTGCGGTGCCGTTTGGAAGTTGCGTCCGCGTTGCTGCCGTCTCATGAAAGCGCTTGCCCTGAGTTGGGATTGTGCTGGGTTCCTTCCCTTCCCAAGGGAAAACTCGGGCCCTGCRCTTGGGATGCTTTTAAGATGCATCTTTAACATCACTGTGAACATTGGGCAAGCGAGGGCAAATTAGCACCTGGGAGTTAGGGGGCATCTGAAACAAAGCAAAAGAAACAATAGCTAATGAACGGAATTAGTGGTTTTTTTTTTTTTAATTGTTACAAAATGAGTTTAGACTACTCCCTTTAAATTGTTGCATCCTTTCGGAAGGATTAAAGGGGTGTAGTTGAGAGTCATACTACGTTCTTGTACTGCCATCTAGGATTCAAATGTCAAAGTTTTATTTATTTTTAAATGCTCATAGCTGAAGGCCAAGATTGCAAGGGATAGGATATTGTTTTAAAASTCCACCAGAAACTACTATTTTTATGATATGTAGGCGTCAAAATTGCTGTTGCCTGTTTTCTCCCTGTTTTTGTTCTCTTTCTGCAGAGAAAATTTCTCCAGGAATTTTAGTCCTGGGTGAGTCTTGATTCAGAGTAACTGAGCATCATGTAGTCTCTCCATGAAGAGTTTTGCTTATAGGAAGTTTAGCTCTTAATTGAGAATGAAGARGGTTCTGTTTCTTTTGCTAGGTCAAGCTGGGCAAGAGCATGTTTTATTGCAAAGATGGCCTGAATGGTTTTCTTTTAGTGTAGCCAGCTGTTCTGGTCAATATGACAGCTGTTATTTTTCTTCCTGAATGCTGGTTTTGAATACTCTAATTGGCATGCCGTCGGATTTTTAGAACAAATTATATACGTCTCTTATCTAACCAGTCTTCAGGATGCTTGTCAGGGTATAAGGTATTGACTAATATAGATTTTTACTTCATTTAGAATTATCTGCTATTTGATGTTTTCAGTCCCCTACATAATGCTAAAATGCACTCTAAAGGATTGGGCTACTTATGCACAGGAAGGGCTGTATATTAAGCTATTTAGCTGAATGCTGCCTAGGTCGGTGACCGTTGGTCAGCGTGATTTTTCTCTTATTTGAGCAAAAGGTTATGTTAGAAGGAGGCATGAAAATGTGGTGTTTCAGGATAAGAATAAAAAGTGAAGAGCCTTGATGTGTTTTTTTTTTTTTTTTTTTTTTTGGTGTTACTAGAAGAAAAGGGAAAAGAAACGAAAAAATTCCTAAACTTCCTCTTGATATTTTTCTCCTGTTTCCATAGGAGAAATATTAGTATCAAAGAATGACAGCTACTACTTCACCAAGTGGATGCACTGTGCAGGAGGGCATTATTTACAGCTGCCAACTTTACTGAACCCTTCCTTACGTTCCATCSTTATTTGTAAGTTTATAATTTTTATTGCAAAACAGTGGCAAGATGCACAGTTTTCTAAATAGATTACTAGTTGATTTAGCAGAGTCCTGGGACCAAAAAAGGGCTCCTGTTTTGCTTAATCCTGCTGATAACTGGCTTTGCAATCTTGAAACAGTCATTAAATGTTACTCAGCTCTTCCAGTAAGTGAACTGGACAAGCTGATGGAAAAATTATCTGTGTTATTGGATGACAAGTGGAGGAAAACAAAACACGAATGAAGTTGTGTTGAAATGAAGTTGTCGTGCAGGAGTTGATGAAGATTTCTTTTGAGTAGCAGCCTGCTGGGGGCTGTGTGAAGCTTGGGGGCAATAGAAGGAGGGCAAAGCTGGCTGAAGTCCATTTTTTTGGGTCTTATTTTTAAGTATAGTGAGCTAGGTCTGTATAGAGTACTCTAAGGAAGTCTTCATGGTCTTATAAAACTTGTTAACTACTAAGGGTGCTGGAGAATTCAGACTTCTGTGAGCAACTCATCACTCTCTAATCACAGGAAAAATATCTTTGTTTTGTGTTTAATGTGGCTTACAGATACCTTTGATCTCTTGCAGTCTTTTAGAAGTTGGAAGACAACGTAGGTTTGATGTTTTGTGTGCCATCAACTGAATTTGGGGCCATCATGAATATAACCAAAGGTGGACTGGTACTGTTCTCAGCTAACTCGAATTCCTCATGCATGGAACTATCCAAGAGGATTGCTGAGTAAGTAAAATCTGCCTGCAAGGCAGTTCAGTGTCTCATTGCTATTATGGTGGGACTTGATTTCATTCATTTTTGCCTTTCATTTTCACATACTGTCTCTTTTTTTGCCTCCTCTGTTCCTGCAGGAGATTAGGAGTTGAGATGGGGAAAGTTCAGGTTTATCAGGAGCCAAACAGAGGTGAGCATTGAATTGGTAAAACGGGAAACTTACTTAAGTAGGGTATGGACGTACTGACTACTCTTTTTGTAGATTGTTGCATTTTTCTTCCTTGAAAGTACATATTTCTTTTCTTTGCAGAAACTAGAGTGCAGATCCAAGAGTCTGTGAGAGGAAAGGATGTGTTTATCATCCAGACAGTTTCCAAGTGAGTGTTTTGTGCACAGTGGAAGTTATATTGAAGATAAATTATGATCTAGTTTGCTGTAGCAAAATGTTGTATTACTAAAAGCCTGAAAGTGGTAAGACAAACTGCAGAGCTGCCCAAATTAGAATCAGAAACAATGATGTGTAATTCTAGTGAAGAATTAAATGCTGGGTCCAGTGCCCTTGGCCCTTCTGATGGTTGCAGCTGGATTCTTGATGGAGATAGCTCGATCACTATTTTTTTTATACCGAACTAGAATGGAATCTCTGGAGCAGGCTTAGGTATTGTATTGAATTCAGATACAGACTTTCTTAATSCATGAATACAGAACTAGATGCTTCTCATTCCAGGGATGTGAATACTACGATCATGGAACTCCTGATCATGGTKTATGCTTGTAAAACCTCCTGTGCCAAAAGCATTATTGGAGTGATTCCTTACTTCCCATACAGCAAGCAGTGCAAGATGAGAAAAAGGGGCTCCATTGTCTCTAAATTACTGGCTTCAATGATGTGCAAAGCTGGTAAGAATGCAGGTTGTTATGAAATAATGAGTGCAGTGGGGGGTTCCCGCTGTTAACCTTCAAATCTGTGCACAAACTGGGACTTTAACTGCCAAGTTTTTCATAAATATAAGATCCAAATAGAGACACTTCCAAATTAGGACTTCATTAAGAATTTGTAACATCCAGTTTAGATTATGTCCTGTTGAACTGATGGAATGAGTCTACAGGCCTCCTAATGCTTCGGGAGGTCCTGTTTCTCCACTATAATAGTTTTTTTTGCCTTTCTAGCATGGCCAGCAGTTGTACTTGCTATTTTTAGTCTGTTTTATACCTGTTGGGCAAATCTACTTTGCATCTATTCTGTGTTTGAGGTGGCATGTGGGAGTGTARTTACCTATTTTTACTACCTTCAATATATTTCCTTTCTGCTGCTTTCTACTTGCTCCTGTCACTGGGGAAAARAAAAAATGGACAGTTACAATGAGCAATGAGTGTAATCTGGTGTCTTTTGAGAGAAGAAATAGGTGAAYAATGTAGAATTTGGACCCATTATTCAGAAAATTCCTAACTCCAGTATGGGTTAGGTTTGTCAGTCGTGTGTCATATTAAAAACTTTTTGTRTGTGTTTTATTTGTCATGTGTCATGGAGAAAGACCTGTCACATCAAGATGTGGTACTACTAATTATAATATGCAGATTGTTCTGAGGTTCTGTTTCTAAAGGAATCCATAGAAATTTAGAGCGTTGATAATGGCAGTGTATTTAAGAGGTGCTTATTTAATATTCTACATAAATAAGTAGCAACTATAKTACTTTTGTTCCAATGCAGCTTCAAAAGTTTGTTCAAAACTACTTAAGTTTGCTAGAGATATAGTGTCTTGTTATCCCTCACTTTTCTACATGTGATTTTGTGTTTTATTTATCTATTCTTAATKAAAGGACTAACTCACCTTATTACCATGGATTTACATCAGAAGGAAATACAGGGCTTCTTCAATATCCCAGTTGACAACTTGAGAGCRTCTCCGTTTTTACTGCAGTATATCCAGGAAGAGGTGAGGAACAACGCTGACTGTTACTTTCTTAAACAAGTGTGTCGTGTCTCAAGGCTTCTAATACAAGTTTCTGCTCATAGGAAGATCTGTGAAAGTAGCTCATTTCAAAAAGAATTCTAGAGGGGGGGGAAAAACACATGTTAGGACAGGGTGGTGTCGTTGACAGCTTTCCCCCCCACCCGCCTTCAATCCATACAGATTTAAACTCTTTTGTGAAGAGCTGGTATTTTCTTACCTGCACTAATGATGCTGTTCTGTTGTCTTAGACATAGTCCTTCAAATATAGGTTTTTTTCTTAAAAAAAAAAAAAAAAAGAAAAAAAAAAGGCTTTTCCTGCTCTTGCCACTTTTCCTTTCTTTCTGTCTACCTTTGTATTGCCATAATGGGCTACTTCTGTAGATTAAAATGTCTTTGTAATTCAGTACATTCAGGTAAATTACAAAAATACTATAAAAACATAATTTCTAAGAAGACTCTTAGTAAGGATCTTTTTTTTCCTTGAGCATGGCATCGGATGTTGCGTGTATCTTGCTTTCTGCATCTTAGAAATGAAAGCACTTTTTATAAAATATCTGTGGAGTCAAGGCAAGCTGTGCTTTTGTATTTTTCTTAGACCTATGGAACTTAGGGATAACAAGATTCTGGTCTTTAAGCATATTCTTATTTTTTCTTACTGGTTTGCAAAGGACAGTTACAACTTTGTGTGGCACTGCCTTTGCTTTCAATTGATAGTTTTATAAAGAGCTGCTGGRGTATGTGTGTAGAGAGGACTTCAAAAGAAGACAGAATTTCTTCTCTTGTGCTTATTAAAACTAAAGTGACAATGTATCTGATCACAGGGCTATGTAAATCCCAAATGGCTTATAGTATCTCTTCTTAAAAGCTGTTTGGAAAGTGCTGCTCGGAAGGAATTGAGTATTCATCTCAAGTTCCTGGTGACAGCCGGGTTGCTGGATATCCTGCTTAGCATGCTAAAACAAGCTAAATGTTGTAAGTGTTAATTGTAATGGAATGTATCAAGTAGCACAAAATAGAGATGAGCCTGAGAAGGATGGACTTTCAACCATTAGCTGAAAGTAAGACATAGAGGTGCCATGGGCACTCTCTGAAACTTCTGCATAGGTTTTGAAAAGAATTATATCTTTATTTGGTATTCTGGGGTAGTTAAATCCAATTAGTGAAATTATGTGGTATAAAAATTCTGAATGTTCATTCCTAAAATGACATATCTCTTGGCATCTAGAAGCTCTTGATGCCTGTTAGGTGACATTTATGGCTTTCTGACTTCATTTGTAAAGAGCTTAGAACAAATTTAAAGATTTGGCAGGGGGAAAAACGTCTGAAGGAGATCAAAGTCTTTGTCAAATGACATGCCCTGCCTTGTCCTTACTTTCCATTGTGTTAATCTTCATAGCCTGTTATATAACTAAGCATTGGTAAAGGGCAGTACGTACTGAATTCCTGGTGTCATAGGTGGAGTTAGCATTACTGGTTATTAATGTTGCTTGGCGTGTCTTCCAAAAAGCTCTCAATTTCAGTAGATTAGGCTCATGCCAAAAATTAGAACRCGAGCAAAAAATTTTCCCATGCCTGTTTCTCATCGGAAGCGTTTACAAAACTTCAGCCAGTTATTTGTATGTTTGAGAATAGGCTCAGGGGAGAACATAACCGTGCTTGTGTGTACAAAAGCTGGGATTTCTAAGCTTTGGAGCAACTATTTGACATCTGTCAGGGAGATGATGAACCGCATGTCCAGGTACTGTCTCTGGAGATGTCACATTAAAAGGTCTGTTGGCAGATTTGGTTGCATATGTTGAGTGTTCAGGCCCTTATCACTGGGGCTCCCTGAGGATTTATCTGTGCTGTAGGGTTTTATTTGYTGTTGTTGCAGCAAGAGTCCACAGCCAACAGTTGCAACAGATATAAGAGTAGACGTATCCTCTCTTCATGTTCTCTTCTGCTCCTCATGGCCCTAGACTATCCCAGGGCAGCACAGTGAGAGAAGAGGGTGACTTTGCAAGAAAAGATGCAAGATCGAGTATAAGGGAGGGGACACAGGTTTGGAGTAGATATAAAAGAAACAATAATATCAAATAATACGTAGGGAGTGACTGACTCATATCTACCAATGAGCCCTTGAAGTAAGAACAGCTTCTTGGGTGTTGTCACTTTGCTGCTGCAAACATCTGCAGCATTATTCCCTGGTGCTGATCTTAAAGGTCACAGTCAGCAGTGTCCGACTGGAACTCCAGGATTGTGCATATGGATTTTTACTCCTTTTCCATGTGAGAGGAGTCACTTTGATGTGATAGAAGAGTGTGTGTGTGTGTGTGTGTGTGTGCGCACGTGCACTTGTCTTTAAAAAAAAAAAAATCGCCAAATTAGGAACTAAAATGAAACGCTATGTTGTCAGATGATTAAAGACCATGCGTATGGGCAAGATTATTAAAGTTGAACAGGAAACTTTAGTTCTGAGGGTTCCCTGTTTTATTAATACTAGTTCCTGTAGCCATAATGTTCTTCTACATTGTGTGTGATCTGTATGTGACATTGGTTGTGAAAGGTATATTTTTACATTAAAATCTGAAGTTGCCAAATACCTGGATATTCTGAGCTGTGAAAACTAGTCAGGTACCATGGATTCTTGAGGTTGTCTTCTTAAATTAGGTAAAATGTGCTTAAAGTTCTTCTGGCAAATAAAGTTACTTGATTCTTACTGAGCTTGAATTTGTCTAAAGGATATGAAGTAGACATTGCTATCTGTTATTTGCTACAGATACCAGACTACAGGAATGCTGTAATTGTGGCCAAATCACCTGCATCTGCAAAGAGGTGGGTAAGATCTGCTCTCTTGTGTTAGAGCAGGAAGTCTCTATTGTAATTTTGTTTTATTCTTAGGATCAAATGAAGGACTGAGATTGAGTAAAGGTGCAGCCCTCCAGCATGTACCACTTCAGCTTTGTCGGATTTGTAGTTTTTAGATCATTGTTAAAATCCTAATCAATGTAAGGAGAGTTTAAAAACAGAAACAACAACAAAAAAGCAGGTTAACTGCTTTATCCTCAGCACTGCCTTGATTTATTTGATCATCTTCTAGTGCAAAGACTCATATTCTCGGCTGTAGATGATGGAAAATGGCTGGAAGTATTCTTTCAGGAGTTGGAAGTAATTGCTTAACATAGTCTCATGTCAGAACATGGACTGRGCAGATCTCAATTACAGATGATTTGCCATCTAGTGAATGGTGAAACACTATTTTATGTTAGAGCCAGTTTTCCTTGTGAAGTCTTTGTTGGCTGAGTGGTTGCCCTTCATTCCTGTAGCTCTTTCTGGTTATCGATACTCCGTTAAGAAGGATTTTCGTTATTTTTGTGTAGAAAATTAGAAGTGCTTTAATTTGTACCAGTAGCACTTTGCAGCGTCTTTATATGATATTTTTTGTTTTGGCCAGCTCTTTGACATTTGCTTTTGACTGTTTTGTGTCAGTTCTACCTCTTGGGGGTAGGCAGGCATTTGAAGCACCGTCTCTGCCCCTGTGCAGAGTAGCCTGCATGTACCATTAACTGTTAAGACAAGATGCATACATAATGTATTGTTTTCTGTAGCAGAGRACTGCAGAACTGTATTGTTTAACTTCCCCATAAAAACTCACATGTACATGTGATGAGTGGGGGAAGGATGTTGCGTTTGGGAAGGGGTGGTTGATTGCTTCAGTCAAATGAAGGAATGCCTTTCAGATGAATGCCTGCCTGTGAAAGAGGAATATTGCTTGACAGAGTTCACAATGTTTCAGTAGCTTGAGTTCCTTTGGAAAACGAATAATAAGTCATATCACTGTTAGTTGGAACTTTGTTCTGTTTATTGTATCTAAAGTCCTTTAGTCTCACTGATAGAATTACATCTTTAAGTCATAACTTTTAAGATAAGGATGCTTGGAATAATAATTTATGCTTGTTTTGCCACTTGAAGCGATAGCTAATTTTATGATAACACTACAATGCAGAAGATTCTTCAGTTTTAAATTATCATCATGGGTAAATGATTCTCTGGACTTTGTGTGGTTGTGGAAGTTAAATGAAGCATAACTGCAGAGGAGGTGGTTGAGCTCACAGGTTTTAGACACTAGTTAGAACTAAGTGACTTGCTCTGGAGGCTTCACTTTTAGTCAAGGGATGCTAATTCTGATTATGGAAAAGTTGGGTAATGTGGATTTCAGTTTATGCTTGCTAGGCTGTACTGCCTGGCACCTGGGATAGAAGCACTGCCCAAAATTACTGTTTTCCTGTCTCTTTYGCTCTCTACGTTCCCTTCTTTATCCCAAATGATTTTGAAGCTTAAACTTCTTTATGTAAGTTTCTAATCATTAGTGCTGATGAAAACTTGCTTTTTTTATTAGGCTTGTAAGAATCCAAGCTATGTAATTTCATAGTATTTTTTCAGGCAAAGTGATTGACTGAATTTTTTCTTTTCTGTGGGATCTCTTGGGTTATGTGCCCGATTGTCAGGGGTACTGGCTTATTTAATGCCCATCCTGCTAAATAGGTGAACACTGGTGCTCTGTTTTCATTAGAAAAACACATATTCAAAAATTGAATATAGACAATCCACACCTCAAGGTCATCGTTAGTGATTGTTAGGTGAGACCTGCTTATGTGCAGGACTTAAAGAATGTGGAGTTTCTCTGTGTGTGTGTGTGTGTATTTCTAAGCTGTTGGGAGTTGTTTTGCTTGGGCACTGAAAACCAGAAAGGGGTAGTGTAAATTGCCTGTTTCATAGCATTTACCCCGTTGCTTACAAGGCCAGCGTGGCTACTTTCAAGGTGATTTGGACTCACAAGTCTGATAAAAAATAGGGAGAAAGTGGCTTGTGCCTTTTCCATTAGCATCTCTTTGCTTTGATCTGAAACTTTAGGATTCAAATGGAAATAGATAAGCCTGTGAATTATGTTGTGTAATACTTTTATTTAATCCTTCTGTTGCAGAGCGCAGTCCTTTGCTGAACGCCTGCGGTTGGGAATCGCCGTGATCCATGGGGAGGCTCAGGATGCCGAGTCTGACATGGTGGATGGTCGCCACTCRCCACCTACGGCCAAAAACGTAGCTGCTATTCACCCCAGTTTGGAGATACCCAGTAAGTAAGTTGGTGTGTGCAAGCCTTCACCTTGGGGGGTTTTGGTGAGGGGAGAGACTACTAAAAAAGAATCTTTCTATTAATATGCTAGGAAAAAAAGACAGCTTTTAGATGCACTTTGTCTTGTTGGTACTAGGCAGTGCATTGGGTCTGTGTGTTGCATAGGAAGAATTTCTCTGCTGGTCAGGAGAGGCCACAGATTGTGGTTAATTTTTCTGCTTGATTTTTTAATTATTTTTTTTTCCCTGGGATTTGGGGCTAAACTGAGCTGACACTGATTTTGTGCCGTTGTTGACCATTGACCATTTCAGCAGGATTGTGTATAGGTTAAGAACTGGGTTGTAGATGTGTGTAGTTAACACTTCAACTAAATTTAAACAATTAGCACTGCAAGAAAAATCTCACTGCTTTTTTTCAGTAGAACTGTGATAACTGAAATAGTTGCTGCTCTACTTTTTTGTATGTAATGCTGGTGACCCATGCAAAGCAGATGTTTGCACAAGTGAAGTATGTTGCATAAATGCACTTTTTTCTTTCCTTTAATGGCTTTTTTTTTTAATTAGTGCTGATTCCAAAGGAAAAACCACCCATCACAGTCGTCGGAGATGTAGGAGGAAGAATAGCCATCATTGTGGTAAGAGAGATGCCATGGCTTTTGCTAAATTGTATTAAGGGCACAGAACTAAAGTAGTTGTTTATTTGTCAACAGCTAAACTTTTGTTAATGGTAGACTTGATACTGTGGTTTTATACCATGAGGCAATATTCTGCATATTTACTGAAAATGATTGTATACAATATAAAACGAGAAGCGGCATTCAGAACTGTTCCTGCTGAATAGTCCTGGTGAAATTCTGTTGAAGCCCTTTCCTAAGGGTGAGCAGTTTGTTTGGGTTTATACCTCAGATAAGAGGAGAAAACCATTATGTGTGTTTGCATTCCGTGAATTCAGAAGTACTGGTGAAGTAGAGATTAATGCAGTCATACAGTCTGAAGAAAGACTAGCCTTTCTCTTAAAGGAAAAAATTACACGTATTTGGCTTTTTTGAATTAAAGGTGTGKTTTTTTTTCCCCCTTCCCTCTTTCCATCATGCAACCCATTCCCTGCTTTAGTGCCGCAGGTTGTTTTCCACATTCTGCTTTCCCACACTTCAGCCTTTGCCAGCTAGCTTAGGTACCTGAAGAATAACATGAGTGAAAACATCCATTTAACACTGGATGTTAACTGYTGTACTTGGAAAGGATTTAGTGTCACTCCAGGTGTCCTGTGGTGATGTTTCTGAGGCCATGTTGAATCTTCACTGATGCACTCCTATTTTGGCAGGATGACATTATAGATGATGTCGACAGCTTCCTTGCTGCAGCCGAAACGCTCAAGGAAAGAGGGGCCTACAAAATTTTTGTAATGGCCACACACGGCCTGTTATCTTCGGATGCTCCCAGGCTGATAGAGGAATCTGCAATTGATGAAGTAAGTGTGGATTCTAAGTTTCTAAACAATTTTTTTAACCAAGCAACTTTTTGCTGAATGAATTCTTAAAGTGTGTTTTCCAAAACTTCCTTTTTTTTTTTTTATCCTGAGAATAATGTAAAATCTTGTTCTCGTATTTACTTGCAAAGAGCAACTTGCATGGTGTCCTAATGAGCAGACCTTCTCTTTCACAGCTCTAATATGGCAGAGGAGAAAACATAAGGGAGCTAAGCCTGTCTTTTTCTTTCTGTAGGTTGTTGTCACAAACACAATTCCACATGAAATACAGAAACTCCAGTGCCCCAAGATCAAGACTGTGGATATCAGCATGATCCTGTCAGAAGCCATTCGCAGAATCCACAATGGGGAGTCCATGTCGTACCTYTTCAGAAATATCGGACTGGATGATTAATGATTCCTTTTATTCTAAATAAACACCCCGGGCCAAACTGGAAGCAAACAGATAATGAGCTGTGAAGCATCATGCTTACCTTAATATTTCAATTGAGCCACTTTGTTTTCTTTTGTTTTAAATATCAAGGTAGAACTGATTTTAAGATTTCTTTTTTTTCATTTTTTGGGGGGTAATAAACATTTTACAGAAAATGGTTCTAGTTGCTTTTAGGTTAGTTGCACTATATAAATGACCAGGAGGAAAAAAAAAAAAAAAAAAAACACTTAAGGCAAGAATTGGGCTTTTAAATTAAGCGTTCCTTTTTTCAAAGCTGCTTGCTGCAAGTGCTATAAAGGTAATAAAATGAAGTGACTGTATAATATTTGCATTTTAAAAGCCAAAAGGGTTGTACTGTTGTATGCAGTTAAGTGATTTTGTAGGAGTGCTTTTATAGAAAAGCATATGGAGTATGCACCTGTATTTATTTTCTGCGATAAAGAATAAAGATCTGTTTTGTGTGAGCTTTTTAAAAGTTTTGTTATAGTTGCTTGTCTTCTACAGTATGTTTCTCCTGAAAATTACTTGCAACTATTACATCCTTGAAAGAAATCAAGAGGCAGAATGATTCTTGTATGTTTTATAGTCTTTTGGAAAACAGGATTCCTGCTTCATGTCAGTAGAAAACTAATATTTTTTTTCATGTTTATAATGAAATACTTGCAGAGAGGCTGCTCTTTCCCAACCCTGCTTCTTGTTGTCACTGTTTTGACCTCCCTCTTGCTGCTGAGCCATCTTGCAACAGGCCAGCAGATCTTTCCCTAGCCAGGTCCATGTGCTGTCACGGATACGTTACRTGGATAGGCAAGCACAGAGACAACTCTGAGAAACAGAACTTGGGGCCCAACTAGCCCCAAACCATCATTTTTATAAGGTTAAATGGCATCTTGTAGGTAGGACTCCCGCGTGGAAAAGAGCTTGCAGCATATCTTGATTTTTAGGCGGTGTGTGTCCTAGTGTTGCAGGACACTTGGGTTTTGTTTGATTTAATCTCACTGCACTATCCTGCAAATGAGTGTAAAATCTTTGCTATGCCCAGAACTAGAATGGAGAAGTAATTTGTGTCGACACTATTTTCCTCTGCCTCAGCCTCCCAAGGCTGTGAATGAGCCACGGCTGGGGCTGGTGCAGCACCTGCCAGGATGGAGCCCTGGATGGTGACTAGAATATTCAAATATTGCTAGCAGATTCAGCATGGATATATTCAGCAAATACAATTAATATTTCACTTAAGCAAATCCACATTATTGTGTGGAAAACACTGTTGTGAGCTTATTTTTCATGAGTTGTGTTTGATTTCTATAGTCCTGACCTGAAAGGTATTTTCTGTCTCTTGGATACCAGGATATAACTTTCTACCTGGGTTATATTTTAATGCGAGTAGGTTATTAAACAGTTTAGTGGTGTTACTAGGCAGACTAAGCTGATATATTAACACTTCTATGTACTTTGAATGTGTTCTTGCAGGTTAAATTCCAGCTGAGTGCATGAGGGTGGGCAACTAGAGTGTCTTACCAGGGTTCAAAACTACTGGATGCTTCAAGGGCTATTTCAAATGCCAGAGAAATATGGTGACCTATTTCAGTGATTAAAAATCAGTTGATATGTATGTATATTTAATGAAATTTTGATAAGTGGTTGGAAAGTGTACTGCCCTTTGGAGTAAATTTGTCACCTAGAAAGCATTAAATTGAGATGTTTCCTGTATGGTTCCAGAAGTTGAATCCTAAGGATTTAGGAAGGATTGTTCTATAAAACATCAAGAACGTTATTGCAGATAAATGCAGTGCTTTGCTCTGTAGTTCAAAGCAAGTAAAGAGTAACATACCCATTTTGTGAAGTTCCCGTTGGTCACGGTCTGTGCTGTGACTGTAAAGGCAGCTCTGCCCTCATCAGAGAGGGCCTAGGGTGAAATCAAGACTTGCAGAATCCAAGCCCCTCTGTTTAAAGGCTCACAGTGCTTAATGCTGTGATTTGCAGATGGATCTATTGGTCATCTCTCCTGCAGCATTGAGAGCCTCTGCAGCTTTTATTTTGGTGCTTCTYGGATGCATCTTTAGTGTCTATAGTACTGCAGAAAGAGCAGCAGCTATTAAGAGTCTGATGGACCCCACTGTATTCAAATGATCCTGAAAGAAGTGATTTAATTTGCCATTATTTCTGTTTTCTATCTTGCGTAATTGCTGTGACTTTGGCAGGGGATATATATTTTCTTTTTTCTTTTAAGTCCTATGTCTTATCATTGGCTTAGTATGTTTTTTTTTACTAATTTTAAACTAGCTAAATCAGTACTKTGTGATTACTGTGCTAGGACTAAGAAGTTTGGAAGCAGCTGCTGGCCTAAGGCAGGTCCTGACTCTTTGTACTAGAGAAGCGGTTGAAACAGCAAAGTGAACACTCAGCCACTTTGTRTACTTCTCTTATCACAAAATATCTGCAGAATTATCTGATCTGTGCTCTTTTTTCRGAAACAAAAACGTTGGGTCACCTGAAATGCTGGCTCTTCTTAGAGGTATTTCTCTGGAAAATAAAGAGCATGCACTTTGGAGTGAAACAAAGGCGGCCGCAGTCTCACAGTAATGAACTAGTCAAAAGATCATGCAAATTCTTTCCAGGTTGATGTTATCTGCAAGGGAACTATTGGGTTCTGCTTTACAGCTTGTGGAAGAACTTTCTGATGTTAACAAGCACTGAAACTAGGGTTTTTTTAATTGCAAATGATTTCTATTTGATTAAGTTGAAATTAGAAATTGTAGAGTAGCATTCACTGTATAACAATCCTAATCTGTGTATGTGATGAAATGCTGAAATACTTTAACTTTTCTTTTTAGCTTCATTTACTAACGAAGCTCAGGTTATGCAGCCTGTGTACCTGGTAGAGCTTCTGATCAGCCTTAACCATGATAGGAGCAATAGCTGCCAAAAACTTAAATTTCTCTCAGTTTGGTGAGAAAAGCTGACTAGAAGAAAGAAGTCTTCATAGATGTAGGTAACTGCTGGAGAAGGAGCTAAAACCTCTGCAAACAGCAGCTTTTGCAGGGCTGCACCTGGAGAATCTGCACGGGAGAGATGCTGGTGTCTGGAAAAGCTGGGACAGGAACGAACTGCTTGGATGTAGGAGCCACAGCAAGTCCTTGGGATGGGGCTGCGCTTTGATGGGGTCCTAAAATCAAGAGCTGCTCTGCACTGTGTGTCCTGTCCACCACTGGAAAGGGTGGTGGGGAAAATACAAGGTTTAAGGGCATTACCTGCAATTTTAGTGTTTCTCTATAACTGCTTTGCTTTCAGCTGTGATGCCTGCAGCCAGAMTGAGTGAAAGACCTGAAGTTGCAGAGGATGGAGCAGAGAAGGGTGGAGGGAAGACCCATGGTGTGAGACTGGAGGAACATTGTCCCATGTGGACATGTCAGCTCCAACTGAGCTGTATCTGAACAGCTTTCCTGTGGAGCAGACACCTTGGTGTCACCCRCCCACGTCCCTGGGGCCGAGCTGGGCAGCTGGATGTCAGCAGAAAGGACAAGGAGGGGGAAAGGCAGAGGCCAGGTTGTGACTCTGCCCCATTGCCACCTTTGGAAGCAAAAGCTGTAGCACTTGTTTAATGATCAATTCCCTCGGGCAGCTCGCGGGTTACTGATTTGGTGGTGATTTTTTTTCAAGGTCTTTGCTGAGGATGGAGAAGCGACAGTGGGGATGATGGAGGTTAATTCTACTGCCGGCTCCTTTAGCTCCTTGCAGCAATTTAGCATCGCTGATCTTGTTGTCGTAGTGGCTTATTTTGCCTTAAACGTTGCAGTGGGAATATGGGTAAGAGCATTGTTTTTTTTGATGTCTCTTCTTTTTCTTAATTTTGTGAAATACTCGGGTTTTTCTGTTTTTGAGGGCTGGCTTCTCTGCAGAGTTGTGCTCTGAAAGCCTCCCGTATTTTCCCGTTGTGTTTTGCATTTATGCTCYGACTCGTGTGCTGTGCTCTTTGCTCTATTCCGCTGTATAAAATCTTTCACTCAACGTGGAAAGTCTCCTGTAGACCCAAAACGAGCCAAGCGCCGTCTCCCAGCCTGGAGCCTGCTGGGCGCCCCATTTCGCCTAATTACGCTCGAGCTGCAGGGCGCTTGTTAATTATCCGGAGCCTGGTCTCTGTCGCGCGGGGAAGGGGCCTCCTCKCTCATCCTCCGCGCTCAGTCCTCCTGCAGGGTGAACAGGAACACGGTCAGYGGCTATTTCCTCGCTGGCAGGGACATGGCGTGGTGGCCGGTAAGTGCCTGTTGTGGGACCCTTGGGGCAGCAGGGACAACCCGCACCGGTCCCCACCAGATTCCCACTTCTGCACCCCTTCTCCTCCCCTGCTTGCAGCGTTTCTCCCTCCTCGCCATCCTACATCCCGGGTTTGTGCTTGGCTCCCTTGCGGACCAGGATCCACCTCCCGTGGCKATCCCTCATCTTGCACGAGGGCTTGTTCTCCTTGTGGTTTTGTTCTCCTTCCTTCCCTTTCCTCCTAAGCCGCTCTGTCCCGCGGGGTCTGTGCTCTGCTCCCGGGATCTTTCCTGCAGAAAAGCCCCTGGGGAAGCACTGGGGCTGGCTGGGGAGCACTGGGAGGCCGTGTGGCTACCCCTGACCTCCCCTTCCCACCCGCAGATCGGAGCCTCTCTCTTTGCGAGCAGCGAAGGAGCCGGGCTCTTCATCGGCCTGGCCGGGACGGGCGCTGCCGGCGGCATCGCTGTCGCCGGCTTCGAGTGGAACGTAAGAGACCTCGTTAAGGGGAGGCTTTTCTGAAGCCTGTTCTGTAGCTGCTCCGGGAAGGTCTCTAAGAGCTTGGGAGGAGCTGCTGYAACTCAGACACACTTGATGTGCTTGGACATGGTCCCCATAGGAAGGCCGACCCTATAGCTCCCCAATTCCCTCCTTCCTTGTAAATCACTCCCTGGGTTCTGCGACAGGAGCACAATGTGCAACTTGCTCCGTATCTGAGGAGTGARTGGGAAACCTGTGGACGTTGGGACAAGTCAATAGCTCAGGGCTGAGAGAGGAGCAGGCCGGGGTGGAACAGGACGTGCTGGGTGCCCGGGAGGTCTCAGCTGTGGCCTCATGCACCTGCGTGAGCACCATGAAGACACCAACGTGTGGCTGAGGACGAGCTGGGGCCTGGTTGGGTATGGCCAACRTGGTCTAGCACCGCCGAAGCAGCGGGATCAGCTGTTTTGGGGGCAGTGCCGTATTCTTTCTTCCCAACAGGCCACCTATGCCCTCCTGGCCCTGGCCTGGGTGTTCRTTCCAGTCTACGTCTCCGCTGGGGTGAGTAGAGCTCTCATGGAGCTGCCGAGGGGATCGCAGCCTTCACCAAGCCTGGTGTCCCAAGGAGCGGTGTCACCACTGTCCTTGGAGCTGCTTTGGGAAGGCTGTTCCCCTTCATCTTCCCTGGCGCTGCCCTCCGAGGAGGGTGGCTGGACAGGACAGGGTCCATTCTC